TTAACCTCGTTGTATCATCGAGGGTAAGATTTTTACCCTTAGGTTATTATCGTTGTATGAGATAGGGTTTATGGAGTTTGGTTTTTGAGGAGATAGTCTCGGGTTTTTTGGGGGTTTCTGATTTATGGTGTATAGGTCGTAGGTTTTGATAAGAGTTGAAGCAGGGTAGTCATAGGAGCTGGCAGGCTTTTCATCGGGCTGTGAAGGCCAGGGTTTCGTTTAGGGTTTGATGAAGGGTAGTTTGGGAGAGAAAATGACTAAAAACGGGGCTTTGTCTATTTAGGCTGAAGAAATAAATTAGGGTTAAAAAATTTACCCTAATATCCCATATATTAACACGCCAAAACGGTGTAGTTTTCTAGTTGCATGAAACGGCTTCATTTTGCAAAGCGAGAGCTTTCCGTGTTTTGTTGGGGGGATAATTATGGGAGAGGTCCTTCTACCTTCAATCTGTTTCATTATCGTCCTAATTCAAGCTTTACTGTAATGTTAATTTAGACTCTTAACTTTTTATATATTTCATTTTAGTCCAGTATCATGTTAGGACTATTTTCGCGATTATTTTACTTTGGATGTGTAATTTGGGAAACTTTCATTTTGATCCTATTTATCACTTTGGTTGTATTATGTTTGCAATCCCTGGAAATGAAGTTTTTTATGTGAAAAAGCCTATTGTTTACTATTTTTATATTTTAGCCTCTTGTTTAATATTTTATGCATGTTGTAGTGTTAATTTAGGTTTACTTTAAGTGTATGCATGTATATATTATTTCGAGCATGTTGTTCATACGCACATATTTAGGTGTAATTTTTTATGCATGTTAGACTCATGTGCATGACTCAACCTAATCACATAATCGGATTAAGGTAATACACTTTTAATTTAAAATTGTCGGAATGGCTTCTCTTAACTCACTAGAAAGCTGTTTTCGACGATTTTAAATTACAAATGTATCCCATCAGTGTCACTAAAAAATTTGATTCTTCACCTTAAAATTTGGGAATGAAAGAAAAAGAAATGATCGGCTATTTAAATTTGTTGAGAAAAGATCGTTAGAACTCACCTAAAGATATGGTCTCAATATTTTTAAATAATCAAATATTCTTTATCTTTCTAATGGCTTGGTAATTTTAATTACCTATTTCGTTGCTTTTAAATGTTATAAAATTCGCATTTTTGTTTTTTAAAGGGATCAAAAATTAAATTAAAGTTGAACTTGTAAAATTCATTGCAAAGACGTTAATTAATCGACTAGGTACCGATTTAAGACGATGTGAGGGTGCTAAATTTGTTGACACCCTAATCAAGGATTGGTGGCGACTCTTCGAACCGTGTTTTTTATTCGTAAATAAAATCTCAAATATTCGAAACGAGAGGTTTTTTAAAATCGAATTGTTTTTAATTAAAAGCAAATCATAAAGAGAATAATTAAAAATGACGTGGTTTTCAAAATCTCGTTCTCTTTAAAAAAAATCTATTAGACAGTGTTTGTTTCTCCTTTCCACGTGAAAAAGAAAAAAAAACTGGGAGTTTGAGAGAGACGACTGAAATGAAATGGGATAGGGTTTTTAATCCTTAAAATTTGTTCATAAATAAAGGGTGAAACGCTACCATTTTTGGCTACCATGGGGTGTTAGATTTTTTGAATTTAGTGAATGGGTTAATCATGCGAGAGGGGCCCCTATGTTTGTATAGTTCTCACTTTAGCCGTGGAATAGAACTTTATTTGTTTCGATTTAGAGCTTTTAATTTTGATTCACTTACATTTTAGTAATTGTTTGCCTATAAACATGTTTTGGTTAAATTCCTGATCTCAACAGTTAATTTACGGCTCATTTCGTTTTGGTTCTTCATGCTTGTTACATGTTAGAAACTGCTCTATTTATACTTTAATTCACTATAGTTCTTCCGTGTATTCATTTTGATCAGTTAGTTGGTTAAATCTTCTAATGAAATAATAAGAATTATTGCTTTGATAACCCCTGTAATGTTCTATTTTTCTGATTTGTCCTTGTTTTTTATTTTGTTTTATTTTAGTCCCTAATTTTTTATTATTTTTTTTAATTTTTACCATATATATTTATGTGTTCCTTTTTATTATTATTATTATTTTACGCATGTGTATTAACCTATATATTTATAAAATATTTTTTATCCAGTTTACGATTGTTCTTAGTTTTATATTTTATAGGTTTATTTTAAACATGTATATATTATATTATATTAAAAATGATTTTTCTGTATTTTAATATATATATATATATATATTATTTTTAAATATATTTTTAATATTTATAAAGTTTTCAGTGTTAGACTAACCTAAGGAAGATCTCTAAAAGCCTGGGGTGCCCTTTCGAGGGTTATTCGAATAAAGTAATTTTAATACTATTATTTGTTGCTAATTTATATTTTATGATATATTATGCCAATCAAATATATTTATCCCTCTTTAAATAAATGTATAATTTTTTATATTTTCATGATTTTTTATAAAGTGAAATTATTTTAATAAAATTAATATTCATTGTTGGTTTTATTTATTTTATTATTTCATTATTTTTAGTTTATTTATTCATCTGTAAAATTATGTTTGATATTTCATCATCTTGTATCTATTATTTATTAGGTGTTGCATTCATGAATTAAGCACATGCTTTCTCGTTTTTTAATGATCAAAGGCAATGTTGTCTCGCGTCATGGAATAACGAAATTACGTCCGAAATAATTGGATTTCAATTTATGTTAATTCACGTAGTAAGAGAACATCCTTTCTCAATAAATTTGAGTGAATTAAATCGTTTTCATCGAGTTAAGTATTTTTTAAGAGAAATTCAATCTTTTTCAAAATTCATTGAAATAAATGGATCGTAATTTAAATTTTGAACTCAAATTCCTAAAATTCCACCATTTTAAACAACATATAATCGGAGGTACTAATTTCAGGCGCTGTGGGGTGCTCACCCATCCTTCCGCGTAATCGACTCCCGAACCTTTAAAATGAATATTTGATAAACGCAGACCAATTTTTATCTTTAAAATGATTTTCTTTAAAATTGTTCTAAAAGACATTTTTGGGTATTCGACCTACCAAACCCAAAGGTCGATGGCGACTCCAATTCAAACTAAAAATCAAATTTATCGAAAGTCACAAATTTTCAAAAATGATGTCATAATTATTTTTAAATTTTAATTACCCAAAAATGGTTATGACAATTCTAAAAAATAAAAAATTATAAATAAGGTACCCATTACCTGAAAATACGTGTACTTGGATGTAATGGCCAGGATACGAGCCAAAATTTGATACACAAAAATTACGGGTACTTGGTATTTCGGATACCCGAGAATAAGGGTACGGTTTTAAACACCCCTAGTGGTAGGACTTTGAAGGAATAAAGAGAGTGACTAAATTGTAAAATGTACAAAAGATAAGGACCTAAATGTGAGAAAATATGTCATTTGTCAAGCGAATAAAATATGAATTCAAACATACTTTCACAATCATCTTCTTCCTCTCCTATACGTACTTTGATATACATGAGTTCATGGCTTATATTGGGGAGTGCTCGAGGTGAAGTAAGATAATTTATTAATTATGAAATTATTGTGATGTCAGGGAGGTATAATTGACATAATATAGTTAATAAATAATATGATATAATTAATGTTTCATATTATTAAGTTAATTGACAATATAACAACACTTAAATTATTAAAACAAATATGATAATTTATTTACAATTGATTTAAGATTTTAATATTTGTAAACTAAATTTATTAAATTAAATTGAAAATAAGACCTAATTAAAAATTAAGAATTAAAGTTAATCTTGGTGATTAAATTTACTAATTATAAAATCTAGGGGATTTAATCTACAAATTTAATACATGACTAGAATAAAAGATTCTAAAGTTAATGCTCAAATTAAGGCATTAGACAAATTAAAAATAAAATCAAGATCAAATTAGATTAAATGAAGATCCAAGGAAACATATCATATGTAAGTGGTGACCAAAATGGAAGAAAACAAAGCAAGGTGCCAACGCTGCAAATACGTAACTTTACAAGAACTTACGCCCTAATTATACTAATTTTTAACTGCCACATAAACACCTCCGTTAAATGTTAACGTCGTATAGCCATTTTAAACTCATTTAAATAGTTCAGTGGTATATTTATCACAATTTTAAAAATGGTGGTCATTTTGCGACTTGACCCATAGTTATGTGGTCATTTATGTAGTTTACCCAAAAAATGGGAATGTAAAATTTTATATTAGAGAACAAATTAAATAAGAAAAAACAAATTATTAATAAAAATATAAAAAATACTTAAAATATACCAAGAAAAAATTAAATTTTTAAGTAAACAATCACTACACTAACACCCCTCAATTCATCCCTGCTTAAAATCTTCTCTTTTCCACCACTTCGGTATTATTCTTCGTAATCTTTCTCATTCACTCTAGACGACAATTATCATCCTTTATATTTTTATTAGATTAAATATTTTAAAATTTATGAAACTTCAACGCAAAAACTTTTGTTTTGGTTTAGGATTTTATTTTGGGGTTTAAGAGAATTAGGGTGGCGACCTAAAAATTTCAATAGTAAAAAGAAATAATTTATGGGATAACCATCAATAAAATTGAAACTTTAACTTGATTTTAAATGAATTTTAGAAAACATTAAATCAAAAAATAAAGATGAAATAAAAAAAAACACATTCTGATATCACGTATGTCTTGAATTATGGTGGGTGGTGATTAAATCATTCATGGCCCGATAACTAAAAAAGTAAATTTAAAAAATATTAATATTAATATTAATATTATAATTTTTTTAATTCAACTACCAAAATAAAAAAATATGACCAAAATTTCATGACTATTAAAGTAATTTACCTATAAATTACTGAGCATAAGTATCCCGTTTTCCAAACATGGATATTTCGATAATAATAAAAGGAAAAGAAAAACAATTATCAATGATGGAGATTGGAGAAACACAGATCTCTAGAGGGTGGTCAAATTTCCTCTTGACTCCATCACAACCCCGTGTTTCCTCATCTATTTTCTTTAAATTACAAGGAACCCACTTTCAAGTTTCCCCTTAAAAAAAAACTAAAATAGAAAAAAAAAATGGTGGTGATGATGCTGGTGTCGGCACTGCAGTGCTTAATGGATTTGGGGTTAGCTGCAATTTCTATGATGATTGGATTTGGAATGTTCGCTTCCATTGCTTCAGTGCTTTGCTCCGTTGCTTTCTTGCTCCATGCCATTTCCAAAGATGTCTCTTAATCTCATCTTTTGAAGCTCGGGTACTTGCTTAACACCCTTTTTGTTTCTTTTCAAAATACCCTTTTTGTTTTTCATTTTCTGATTAGCTTCTGGGTGTCTTTGATTCCTTTGATTTTTTGTGGTTTCTGAATCTTCCTCGTAGTTTGAAGAACATATTTTCTGGTTGTTTTGATTATAGTTTAGCTTGTATTCTTTTATCAGTCTCCATACTATGCAAAAGTTGTGTGTTTAATTGGATTTATTCTGATGGTGTATTTTTCAAATTTTGAGATAATAGCTGCAAAATCTGTTAAGTCAAGTTCAAGTAATATTCTCTAAACTATTTCAGATTGCATTGAAATTTAAAAACTTGAAAAGTATAAGATTAAGCTTGATCGAATTAGAGTACAATGATTAAGTCAACTACTTGTGTATAATATAAGGACTGATGATAAGAGTGTTTCCTATATTTACTATCAGAACACAAGTTGAACTCTAATCAGAGATGCCACTGCAAACTTGCATCTCAATCCAGAAAATTTGAGCTCAAGTGTGGTAGTCAAGTACCAGTAGATGTCACTGGAAGAAAATCTAGCCTTATCTTTCAAGTTATAATTGAAGTTTACATTGATGCTAAGGGGAAACTGATGTGTTATAATCTCGAGATCTTGTCAATAGAGAACTTCAATCCCTCGTTACTTTGGATAGTTGACTGAAAGATTCCAACTATACTCTAAGACATGGAAATGCTATCCTTTCGTGCTGAAATAGCATAGTTCTGCTCCTTAATGAAATCTTTGCTGCTTAAGATTCCCGTTATCGAGCTAGTTATTTATGCTCCTTCAAAACACCATGTACCCTTCAGGCGACATCCCGAACACCATTCAATGAAACCACCCTTGTTGTCAAGTTCATTGGCGAGTGGTTAAAGAAAACACATTCTTCTTTTGAACATGTCTGGCATTGTTGTTGTTGTTGGGATTTTTTTATCACCTGTATATTAACAAAGGCTTGGAAGGGCAAATTGTAACCTCTGTATTTAACTATGCTGGATTCAGGTGTGAAAAATGTTCCCATCCTTGAACTCGCAGTTTGTTGTTCCTTGACAGCTTTGCAATGTGGGATGGCTTTAATTCTGTCTATATGTATCCGGTAAAAACTTCGGTAACGAATAGTACTATTGTTGGGTTTTGCAATTTTCTTATAATATGTTTGACATTTTTTCTGCTCAAATTGTGTTCCTTTTGTCTCTGCTTTCTCAAGACTTTGGTTTCTTCATTGATCTCTGTTGATGAAGTTTTCTTTGTTGAGATGGATTTGACATTTTCATGCTCGTAATAATTCCGATCCGCACGTTTGAAGTAACTTGGCCAGAATGAGGCGTCGGAAGCCTTTGAACCATTGTTCTTACTGCAAAAGAGCTTCTGGTTTGGACTTTTGACTTTTGAATGTTATCGAATTCCCCAACATGATGATGATCAGAAATATCCTCTTTAGATGTCCCTAGCATTTTAACTTGCAAAATCTAAATAAAAAATTTAAGGTACGTATACAAATTATCCTCAGCTATATGGTTTTGCTTTATTAGTTCATCGACTAGTGAAAGTTACAAAATAGTCTTCTGACTATAAGATGTTATTTTGTTGAGGCTCTCGACTACCAAAAGTTACAAAATAGCCAATTAACTATTTATTGTGTTCCAAATTCTTTTTTTATTGAAAAATTGATAGCAGTTTGAGTTAGAGGTTAATATCTTGATTGAGATATAATATATGATCTTATAATCTCAAATGAATAATATATCTCAGTCAGTGGGTTAACGTCTAGTTCAAACTTACAACTATTTTTTAATGCAAATGGACAAGTGTTGAACACAATGAATAGTTGAATGATCATTTTGTAACTTTTAATAGTCAAGAAACTCATCAAAGACACATCTTATAGTCAGTTAGTAGATCATTTTGTAACTTTTAATAGTCGGGGAATCAACAAAGTAGCACCCTATAATCATCTATCATGTTTTACCCAAAAATTTAAATTGAAATAAGATTTTTTAAAAAGTTTGAGAATGAAAAATATAAAGGTAAATTTTTTATGGATCTAGATTTTATTTTATTTTTAATTAAGCTAAGGTGATTACAAAATAGTATTTGCTCTAAATATTTTCAACCATTTGACAATGAACGCTCAATTACCCTGTTGTATTATTGATGCTCGAACGTGTGACCTCTAAAAACAATAATGATTCATTTAATAACTGAGGTAAATTAGTTCGTGGTATGAATCAGATTTTGACATCTCTTCGATGTGATGATTAAATTTAAAGATTTAAATCTATAAGAATAAAAAATGTTTTTCTTTTCTTTTTGGTTCCGATAATCTAGCTTACAAATACTTGATAAAATAAGAAACGTCCAACTAAAGGCAATTATTTATTTGGTAAAAATGTGTATTCATTGGGAGAAGAAAGTGATCCACGAGATGGGCATTGCCTTCCTTCCTTGCAACTTTCAAACATTACCTTTTATAGATTTGAAGAATTTAAACTGGGACCCCGAATAGGCTACACAAAATTAAGAATCAAATAATAATATTATAAGCATGAATTATATGAACTCAATAGTTAAATGAATGATTATTATCCTTAAAAATATCATATTCGAGCATCAACGACTGCAGAATACTTGAGCATTTATTGTCAAATGATTAAAAATCTTTAAAATAAATACTACCATTTATAATCACTTTAGATTAAAAAAATAATACTATTATAAAATTATCATTCAGTTTATTTAACACAAATAGAAACTACTAATTTTATTAAAAAAATAAAAATATTTAAAATTACAATAAAAAATTATAACAATAAACGTAAATTAGACATATAATTAGGATATTGTTTATAACTATATATACAACATTGATATAATTATTTAAATAATATTATAGTCTTTGTATATTATAAATTATGATAAATTTAATGATCATTTTATAATCGTGTGAGTAAATTAATGATTTTATTATAATTTTAAAATTTTAGAAATCAAAATAATTTTTTTATTAATCGGGGTAAGTACAAGACAATATCTATTCAAAGAACAGCTTTCAACATTTTTGACATTGAACGTCTTTACTCTTAGAATTTATGGTGTTCGAGCTTGAGTCCTAAAAAAACAACATTTACTTTACTACGAAGGTGACTTGGTTTGTAGAGTAATCAAAATTAATTGTTTAAATATAATTTAATATTTGTATATTTTACCGACTCTATCAAACTAATATACTTGACGTAAGTCTAACATGGAAAATGCACCACTGTTTTTGGCTTTGACTACAGTTCATTGGAGCCGAAAGAAAAAGGCATAAACATCCAAGTCAGAAGCAAAATTCCAAAACATTAATAACCATCCAACAACGATTCCATGTGCACTTTCGAATATCATGATCACATCTGACCCCAATTTAGTATAGAAACCGTCCAATATTTATCATATTTAATGGCATCTTTTTTTTTCCCGAGAAATAAACCTTCAGCTCAGTTGATAGAGCATAAGATTCTTAATTTTAAGATCGTGAGATCAAGTTTTATGAAGGGCATTTTATAATTTTGAGGTCTCCTACGGAAGCTGTTCTCAACATAGTATTAGGGACAATCTACTATCTTACCTCCCCTTACCCATTACATATGGGAACAAAGGACAGTCATTTAATGGCATCTTTTCAAAAGGTTTGGTCGGGTCAAGTTGTTCACTTGGTTTGATAAGTATAGCCGTAAACCAAATCTTACAACTTCACGTTTTTTTTAACTTGGGAAGACGGGGACGAAGGGTGGAGAATTATTTTCTAAAAAATATTTTTAATAATATTTTAGTTTTAAAAAAATAGAAAAATTAAATATATATAAAAACTTAGATAACAATCAAATTTAATGTCGATTATGGTTTAGAACCTAAAAATATAACGACAGAAACGTTATATACTTATTTTTAATGAAAAATTCTTTAGATATTTGAAGTTAACTTTAGTATAGTTTGGACACTTTCTTTTATACTAAAGCATTTAAAAAAAATAAAACCACAACTCTCTATCATGGTTTTCAGAATCTAACCAGTTAGTGAACCGGTCATGCTATCGGTTCACTGGTTCAACCGGTCGGAAGAATCGAAGGACGTCATAATTATTTAAAAAATTAAATAAAAATACCAAAAATATTTAAATAAAAATAATTTTATATATCACAAGTCATATTCAAAGCAAATCATACCATATATAAGTTAAAAACCATAAAATCAAGTGAAACAAAATGATTCAAATTAACTACACCATAATATTTAAGGTAAAACATATTAAATAATAAATATAATTATATAACTATAATTAAAAAATAAATTTGGGGCTAAAAAATTCATAACAAAATGATATTGTTTGGTTTAATTTTTATAAAAAAAAATCTCACATGGCTAAGAAACATAGAAGAACGTCCCAAAAGTCTAAAGAGTAAAAATATGAGAACAAAACAATTCCACATGGCTAAGAAACATAGAAGAGCATCCCAACTAACTTCTATAAATAATAGAGGTAATTTGACATTCAAAATCATGGAGCCTTTTGGTGAGCATAGAGTGAACTATTCTTTCACTTCAATCAAGTTCGAATTTTAGGCTTCAATCGAGCTTCTAAATTTTTTTTGAGTTCAAGCCTTTTCGAGTTCAAGTTTCAATATTATATTTCGAGTTCGAGTTGAACTTGATAATTTTTAGTTCGTGAGTTTGAGTCGAGCTCAGCAATACTCGAGTTCGACTTGGCTCGTTTAACAAACGACATCGTTTGGTTTAATTTAAAAAAAAAAACAAAATTGGCGGTTTTTCCCGATTTTTCCCAGTTTTCAGCCGGTCCAGTTTGAACGGTTCAACGGTTTCGACCGGTTCACTAGTAGTGGTTTAACCGGTTTAGTTTGAACCGGACTAGGCAACGGTTCCTAGTTGAACCAGTTGAACCGACCGGTCCGGTCCGGTTTTCAAAACAATGCTCTCTACCAAGCAACACATTACACTTCATTCTAGGATCATATTTTATCGCATCACAATTAACATGTGAACGCCCGGCTCAGACGACCATCAATTTTTTAACAGAAAAGGTAAGTTTGAAGCATATGAATAGTCAGATAACCATTTTATAACTTTTAATAGTCGATAGACTCAACAAAGCAACATCCTATATTTGGGAGACTATTTTATAACATTTAATAGTTAGAGACTCAATAAAGTAGTATCATATAATCAGTAGACAATTTATGTACTTTATCTAAAAAAATATTGTTCTTCTTATAAAATTAAAATTTGAGCACTTATTACATGATTTATACATTACTAATAGAATAAAAGATCTTAATATATTATTTTATAACCATTTCATACCATTAAAAAAAACTTTGAGCCTTTGACATTTCAATGACCAAAACATCATGTTTTAATAACAAAAAACGAACATTTAGAAAATTAAAGTGACCATTTATATAGTTTACCAAATGTTTTAATTGGAATGGCACTAGGAGATGCCAAGCAGCCAGCCCAATATACTATATAAAGTTTGGCTTGGATTTTGTAAATTATAAGTACACACACTTGGCTTCCCGGGATACAGCATTTGATTGATCCCCTCCCAAAACGAACCGAAACTACTCCTGCTACTATTAAATACCTCTCTGCTTCTTCTTTTATCTTTGTTTGAATCCCATTCTCGATAAATTGTTACATTTTTCCCGCAGATTCTCTAGAATTCTCAACTTCCCAGAAAAACATAAACGAAGAAAAATTATGGAAAATCACATTCATTTTCTATTCCGAGAACAGAACCGAGAAATAGAATAACCATTTTTTATATAAGGAGAAAGGGTTAACTCAGTGTGACTCAAAGAACAGTAGGAACACAAAGGAGAAAAAAACGACTCATACTGTGTCTCGGTGAGTTCATCATTGCTAAAAAAACTTAATTTTTTGGTTATTGAATTTGATATATATTAAATTCTGCAATCTGGGTATAGTTTGTTTTATCATTCTGTAATCTGGGTGATCATTATTTTTTTTATTTTATTTTGGGGGTGAAAGGTCGCTGTATTAGATCGAAATAACGTGTTCCAATAGTTGTTTTCGGGAGTTTAGTTGTGCTTTTTGTTTCTGTTTGAATTTTCTGTCATTTTATTTTTCTTGGAATGTGATCCTTTATTTTACATGTTAATGAAATATTGTGTCATTGAATAATCAAAATTTTATGTTTCTG